TTGCTGGCAAATGGCATGCATCACCTTGACAGCATCATCTTTTAAGATTTTAAACAGTTCAGCTGGGATCCCGTCATCTCCTGCTGCCTTGTTGTTAGCAATGCTTCTTAAGGCCCATTCAACCTCACTCCTCAGGATGTCTGGTGCTAATTCATTCACCACACCGTCAAAACTATCCTCAATATTATTATCCTTCCTATACAGATCTTCTGTATAGTCTCGCCACCTTCTCTTGATCTCTTCAGCTTCTGTTAGGTCCCTGCCATCTTTGTTTCTTATCATACCAATTTTTGCCTGAAATTTACCTCCAATGTTTCTAATTTTCTGGGAGAGGTCTCTTGTCCTTCCTATTCTGTTGTCTTCTTCCACTTCCATGCATTGCTTATTTAAAAATAGTTCCTTATCTCTTCTGGCTAACCTCTGGAATTGCGCATTTAACTGGGCATATCTCCCCTTATCCCTGTTTCCTTTTGCTTTCCTCCTTTCTTGGGCTACTTCCAGTGTCTCAGCAGACAACCATGTTGCCTTCTTGGTTTTCTTTTTCTTTGGGACGTACTTTGTTGCCGCCTCCTGAACAATGTCGCGGACTTCTGTCCATAGTTCTTCTGGGACTCTGTTTACTAAATCTAGTCCTTCAAATCTGTTCTTCACTTCCACTGTATATTCGCTAGGAATGTTAGTGAGATCATATCTAACTGGTCTGTGTATTTTCCCTGATCTCTTTAGTTTTATTCTAAATTTGGCAATAAGAAGTTCGTGATCTGTGCTACAGTCAGCCCCAGGTCTTGTTTTCACCGACTGGATGGATGTCCGCCACCTTTGGCTGCAAAGGATGTAGTCAATCTGATTTCGGTGTTGACCATCTGGTGAGGTCCATGTATAAAGCCGTCTTTTAGGGTGTTGGAAGAGAGTATTCGTTATACACAGCGAGTTTTCCTGGCAAAATTCTATCAGCCTGCGTCCCGCTTCATTTTGTTCTCCCAGACCATGCTTGCCTGTGATCGCTGTTGTCATTTGACTTCCCACCTTGGCATTCCAGTCTCCTGTAATGAAAATAATGTCTCTTTTTGGTGTATTATCCAGTAGTTCCTGCAGATCCTCATAGAACTGATCTACTTCTGCTTCTTCAGCAGCTGTGGTTGGGGCGTATATTTGGATCACTGTAATGTTGAAAGGCTTTCCTTGCACTCGAATTGAGATCATTCTGTCATTTTTTGGGTTGTATCCAAGCACCGCTTTAGCGAATTTCTTATTAATTATGAAGGCTATTCCATTTCTTCGATGTTCCTCTTGTCCGCAGTAGTAGATCTGGTGGTCATCTGATGTGAAGTGGCCCATTCCAGTCCATTTCAGTTCGCTGACCCCCAGAATGTCTATCTTTAGTCTTGACATCTCACCAATAACAACATCCAATTTGCCCTGGCTCATAGATCTTACATTCCAGGTTCCTATGGTGTGTTGATCTTTAGAGCATCGGATTCGTCGTTCACCTCCAGTACCGTCGGCCGCTAGCCTTCCTTTCGGCTTTGAGCTAGCTGCGTCATCACATATGGGGCTAGTTGAACTTATCCTCTGCTCCTCCCCAGTAGCATTTTGGCCATCTTCCGACCTGGGAGTCCCATCTTCCAATGGCATACCGACATATCTCTGGTTGTACTGGTCCATTTAGTTTTCTTGGCAAGGATACTGGAGTGGTTTGCCATTGCCTTCCCCAGGGATCATGCTTGGTCTGACCTCTCTGCCACAACCGTCCCGTCTTGGGTGGCCCTTCACGGTTTCGCTCATGACATCATTGAGGTGCTCAAGCTCCAGCGCCCCGACAAGGCGGTGATCCTTTGCTGAAGGATACTGTACATACATACCAAGATTTCTCTGCTTAATAACCTTCTCCATCTTGATGCCTCATTATACTCTTTTGACTACACTCTAATGTTGCTCAGCACAGTTGTCATCGTTTTTACCTATAAAATGTTGAATGATATGTAACCAACTGAGGTCCAGTGCAGAAGCTGCTCAAAGATACTAGACTATCAAAAGAAAGATTGTTCTTTGGAATGAAAACCAGCACTTTAAATTGTGCTCGGAAGCTGATTGGCAGCCAGTGGAGCAGGCATAACAGAGGAGTTGTACGCTTCCTGTACGCCGCTCCAGTAAGTAACCTGACTGCTGACAGTTGGACTAATTGAAGCTTCCGAGATGTCTTCAAAGGCAGAGAGCATTGCAGTAGTCTATTAGGGATGTAACAAGAGCATGGACCACTATGGCCAAGTCAGGCTTCCCAAGGAACAGGCGCAGCTGGCACACAAGTTTTAATTGTGCAAAAGCTCTCCCAGCCACCACCGAGACCTGGGTTTCCAGGCTCAGCGATTAGTCCAGGATCACTCCCAAACTGCAAACCTGCATCTTCAGGGGGAGTGAAACCCCATCTAACACAGGCTGTAACCCTATCCCCTGTTTCCCTTACCTCTGTCTTGTCTGGATTGAGTTTCAATCTGTTCACCCTCATCCAGGCTACACAGCAGCCAAGCACCGGTTCAGGACCTCCACAGCCTCCTTAGTGACAGGTGGGAAGGAGTGATAGAGCAGAACATCATCCACATACAGATAACATCTAACCCCAGAACCCCGGATGATCTCTCCCAGCAGCTTCATGTAAATGTTAAACAACATAGATCCCTGTGGGAATCCCACAAATCAATGGTTGTGAGGACGAGCAGCAACACCTTCTAGGAACGACCCTCAAGGAACGACTGGAGCCACTGCAGAACAGTACCACCAAGTCCCATATCCCTGAGGCGTCCCAGAAGGATACCGTGGTCAACGGTATCAAAGGCCGCTGAGAGGTCCAGCATAATCAGCAGGGACACACTCCCCCTGTCTAGTTCCTGGCGTAGATCATCTACTAAGGCGACCAAGGCTGACATAGGGAAGAGGGAGGAAGCTTGTTTTCTGCTGCCCTGGAGACTAGGACAAGGAAAGGAGATTCCCCCTGAACACTAGGAAGAACTTCCTAACTGTTCAGCAGTGGAGTTCTCTGCCCCGGAGTGTGGTGGAGGCTCCTTCTTTGGAGGCTTTTAAACAGAGGTTGGATAGACATCTGTTAGGGATGCTTTGATTGTGATTTTTAGCGGGGGGTTGTACTGGATGGCCTACAAGGTCTCTTTCAACTCTATGATTCTATGATTTCTGTAGCACCATTTCTTGCTTAAATCTTGCAAACCCAGGGCTGTGGCTTCCTTGTATGAATCAATTCACCTGTAATCTGATCTTCCCCCTTTTTATTTGTTTGTTTGTTGCTAAAGGCATTTATTTATCATCTGTTGACTCACCAGTACCATTGAGTTAATGCACAATTTGTAAAAACAGCAGAAATTCATTATCATAGTGCAAAGAAAGTAGTGTAAAGGATATTTTCATATTTCAAGTGTGATAATGCCAATCCAGGTACTTTGTTACTTTACTAGTTTTTTGAGTTCAAGCAAAGCGGTTTTCAAGTGATAAACCCTTAATAACCAACTAAAATAATAAGCATCAAGACCTAGGATATGACATATCTGATGCACATTCTTTAATTAGTAGTCTTGTTAACCTATATAGAGCTCTAACCATTTCACACTATGTCCTGTGGGTGATCACTCATGGCTGAGAATTATTGTCTTCTAAAGAGTCCTGCCACTGGGTCCATAAATGACTATGAAGGCCTATTTTGGATCTACATGGCCTTTCACATTGAGGTTTCCACATGGAAGGTGGTCTTGACAAGATATGCTTTCCAGATGGAAGGTGGTCTTGACAAGATATGCTTAATGTGCTTTTCTCTTGGCACATTTCTTCCTTTTGCCCTGTGTTCATGTCTCTACAATATGCATATCCGTGTTTATAACAGTTGACCTCCAGTTACAGTGCTCAAGTGCCAGGGCTTCCCAGTTCTTGGTGTTTATACCACATTGTAAAGGTTAGCTTTAAGCCAATCTTTAAATCTCTTTTGTTGCCCATCAATATTTCATTTTCCTTTCTTGAGAATAAAATAACTGCTTTGGGAGACAATGATCAGACATTCATACAACATGGCCAGTCCAGCAAAGTTGACAGCTGAGTGCCGATGATCTTTACTTCTTCGAGAACACTGATGTTTGTCCACTTCTCTATCCTAGAAAATTTGCAGGATTTTTCTAAGACAAAGCTGATGTACTGTTTCCAGAAGTAGAGTGTGATATTTGTAGATGGTCCATGTTTTGCGACTATAAATAGTGTTGGAAGGATAATAGCTTTATAAACAAGCATTTCCTTGCTTTCACTAGAAGGAACTATAGTTAGGGTGCATTTACACTGGAGAATTAATGCACTTGACACCACTTTAACTGCCATGACTCAGTGCTATCAAATCCAGAGATTTGTAGTTTGGTGAGGCACCATCATTCTTGGGCAGATACTTCATAGCAGTTAAAATGGCATCCAGCTGTGTTAATTCTATAGTGTAGGTGGACTCTAAATCTGCATGAGCACTCAATCTTTGACACATGGTTTGCCACTATAAAACTGTTTCAATTTAACAACAAACAGGAACAAATAGAATTATCAGCATTTCATTAAAAAACATCTTTCACTATTATTTTTTTATTTCTTCAGTCTTGACTGAAAAATTTGAAGTACGTAGTTTTCTCCTCACTAGCATTCAAAATGTTTAATTTGTTTACCTCCAGGGCTTATAGCACTAGTAAAGATTCAGTAATAAAGATTCAGTAATAAAGGTTTCAGCAATATTCGGGAAAAGATAAAGCTAAGCATGAAGCAGCATGTGATCACATGAAGTTCTGTCAGCCAATTCCAGGATCCAATTTTAGGAAGGAATGAGAATACGTGATCTTTACAACTTTCACTAAAGGACAATAAATGTTTAATCCACTCTTCAGTTTAGTGCTACATAATTATAGATAGCAAATTCATTCAGTTTTGGTATTTCACCCTAATTTATAGCAAGGGCTCGATTTCTTTTTCAGAAAATAAAGTCTACCACAAATTCAAAATAAAAAAGCTTGCTGACTGTAATCATTTTTGCAAGAAGAAACATAAGAAGAATTGCTTTAAAGCTGTAGGTTCTGCCAAAAGGTAAGCCTATCAACTTTATTCACCCCTTTATTTTTAAATTTTCTTCTTACCATTATGTTGCTATAATAAATATGTTGTACAGTGAAAATTAGTGATGATAGCAATAAACAGTAGTGCCTCTTCAGTCAAGACAAGCAATAAGATTTTTTTTTAAAATCTATAAATGATTTGAAAAAAGTATAAACCTTGTAAGTCTGTTGCTCAGAAATCTGGCACCAGCTAAGCGCCTGATACTTTTCCTCTACAGCTGACCTGGGGTACACCTACACTGTAGAATTAATGCAATTTGATACTAGTTTAACTGCCATGGATCAATGCTAGGGAATCCTGAGATTTGTACTTTAGTGAAACAACAGCATATGGTTTGGCAGAGAAGTAATAGTAATAGGAGCAACCCCATGGGCCATCCAGTCCAAGCCCCTTCTGCCAGGCAGGAAAAGCAAGGAAGGTGCAGGGGGAAAGGGTCTGTATGATGAGGAAGGGAAGGGAAGAAAGGAAGGAAAAGAGGAGGGGAGGAAGGAAGGAAAGAAGGAAGAAGCAGTAGCAGCCCTGTCAACGGCGGCCTGGAGGTGGCCCCCTTGCCCTGTGGGTGCTCCCTGGCATGGCTGACATCCTGGAGAAGCCCTGCAGAGGAGGAGGAAGAAGGGAGGTATTGCTGTGGATGCCACCTCCACCCCCTGGAGCCCTGGCCCCACCTCCCTGCTCTGTGTTCTCGAGCAGCTGACAAGAAATATCTTCTGAGGCCTCAAAAGGAGGGGGAAAGGCCCTGAGGAGATCTCTACGATCACACAAAAGACAATGACTTCCCAAAATCGCAAAGACACAAATCCACTACAAGCAGTAGCACAGAGGTGTTTTTTGCAACTTATATAACACAACATTGAATGTATATGCAACTTATATAATGCAGCATTGAACGATATACAGAGAACATAAGACTGTTATATACACAGTGATTTTTACACCAGTCACAAAAGTAGAATGTTTTTTGCTTTAAAGCAGACTTCTCCTAAAGGTATTAAATCCCTTACTCTCTCGTGAGCAGAAGTTTATAAGGCAAAATGTCTGTGAAGGGATAATTCTGTAGTGATACTATTGAGTGGAGCTTCCAGTCCCTTGTAGGAGGGTATCTATGACCAGTTTCGACTGTCTTAAGTCTTTTTCAGGTGGTATAATGATGAAATGGACATCAAGTTCTCCAAAATATCAAGTCTTTCTCAGGTGGATAAGTATGAGAATACAATGAAGAAGTGGACCTAAACGGGATATGTAGAGGTGGCTAGAACATGTCCCAAAAGGGATAAATATTTCTCTGTGTTGCCAACGTAACAACAACAACAAAACTTTATTTATATATCACTCTATCTCCCCAAGGGGACTCAGAGCGGTTTCCAAGTAACATAATCAATACATACAAAGAAAACAGCATAAAGAAATTTAACAAGACAATATAAGCATTAAAAACTACAATAGCACATATATTTAAAATAATGCTGCCTGTTCAAGGCAGTTTAAAAGGACGGGCTGGGTTAGTGAGATTTTAGAGGGCCCAGGAAATTAGGTAGAGTCTGTGGCTGTACATTTCCAGGGCCTAAGAGAAGAAAGTGACCTGGGTAATTGGTAGGAAAAGATATGGTCAATTTCAACAGTATCTGGGGCAAAGCTAGAACTAGTCATTCTCAAAAGTTTGCTTACACCACCAGGTCTTCAGGGATAAGGCCTGTCTTATTTCTCCAGGAAGAGCGTTCCAGAGATGGGGGGCCACCACCTAGAAGACCCTCTCTCTCGTCCCCACCAACCGTGCTTGTGATGGTAGTGGGAGCGAAAAAAGGGCCTCCCTGGAAGATCTTAAAGTTCGCGCTGGTTCATAGAGGAAGATGCGATCGTGAAGATAGGTGGGGCCCGAACCATTTAGGGCTTTATAGGTCATGACCTGCACCTTGAATTTGGCTCGGCAACTTATCGGCAGCCAGTGAAGCTGTTTTAAAAGGGGCGTCGTATGCTCCCTATAGTTTGCTCCAGTAAGGAGCCTGGCTGCCGCTCGTTGTACCAGTTGGAGCTTCCGGGCCATCTTCAAGGGCAGCCCCACGTAGAGCGCATTGCAATAGTCCAATCTGGATGTAACCAAGGCATGGACCACGCTGGCCAAGTCAGACTTCACGAGGCATGGTTTCAGCTGGCGCATGAGTTTAAGTTGTGCAAAGGCCCTCCCGGCCACCGCTGACACCTGAGCATCAAGTGACAGCATTGAGTCCAGGAGGACCCCTAAGCTACGGACCTGCGCCCTCAGGGGGAGTCTAACTCCGTCGAGCACAGGTTGCCACCCAATACCCCGGTTGACTCCACAATTGACCAGGAGGACCTCTGTCTTGTCTGGATTAAGCTTCAACCTATTAGCCCTCATCCAGTCCATCACAGCAGTCAGACACTGGTTCAGGGGCTGGGAGGCTTCCTTGAAGTTTGGTGGAAATGAGTAGTAGAGTTGGGTATCATTTGCATACAGATGGCACCCAACTCCAAATCTCCGGATGACCTCACCCAGTGATTTCATGTAGATATTAAAAAGCATGGGGGATAGAATGGAACCTTGCAGGACCCCACAGGTCAAAGGCCACGGGTCCGAGCAGGCATCTCCCAGCTTCACCAACTGGGAGCGACCCTCCAGGAAGGAGTGGAGCCACTGCAGAGCAATGCCCCCAAGACCCATTCCAGAGAACTGCCCCAGAAAGATACCATGGTCGATGGTATTGAAAGCTGCTGAGATATCCAGGAGAACCAACAGAGGTCATCCACCAAGGTGACCAAAGTCGTCTCAGTACCATGGCCAGGTCTAAAACCAGACTGCGATGTTGTCCAAGAATCCCTGGAGTTGGGAGGCAATCACCCGCTCTCGAACCATGCCCACGAAGGGGAGGTTAGAGATAGGCTGATAGTTGTTTAGGACTAAGGAATCTAGGGGTGCCTTTTAAGTAACAGTCTCACAATTGCACTTTTCAGGCTCGATGGAATATGACCCTGTTCCAATGAGGCATTTATGATCTTCAAGATCCACTCGGCCAATTCCCCACTGGCGGGTTTGACCAGCCAGGAAGGGCAAGGGTCCAGGGCACATATAAAGCATAAATAATAAAAGAGGCATAGATACTCACATCAGGTTCTCCTAAACAGTGCTCTGCATTAGTTTGATTCTCTAGCAAGCACATGACCAGCAGGTAGAAACTAGTATATAAAGTAAAGCCCAGTAATGATGTTAATGTAGCTTTACAAAAGCTGCTTGAAACAGGTATAACATGTGATAAAAGTGTTAAAGAGCTATACACCATAGCTCACAGGAAACATTGGTATGAAATGGTGTCATTTAGACCCTTGGGGACAGCAGGGAAACGTCATGGGATGGCAGCCCACAACCAACCATAATAAGGGGACAAAGCTGAGCACTATCCCATGGTTTCCCACTCAGTCCCCCGCTGTCTCCAGGCTTCTGGACTTCCATGTGTTGAGGTTCATAGTAAAACTCTATATGACCACTTAAGAAACAAACCAAGACAGAACAGCCTGCTGTAAATGGAATCTGGGAGAGTGTGGAAGAGGACAAAGACACAAGAAGGTTCGATAGGGAAGACCTAGGAAATTCAGAAGCAGTAATGAGAGAGTGGCAGGAGCTTGGCAAAGGAGGGAAAGAATGTATGGAAGTTGCTGCTAGCTTGATGTCACTGGACCTCTGTGTGAGAAAGCGTAACCAACCAAGACATTGTGAGTTGTGAAATTGTCTGAAAGAGTTTATTTAGAAGCAGCCAGGGAATTGTTAGACTAGGTCCAACTAGTGATTATCTGTATTAGAGGTCTACATAATTTTCCAAATATTTGGTATGTTGGTTGTATTGTGTAGGTGTGTCATGTAATGAGAAACCTCTGAGTCTATGTGAAATAAGTAATAAGTCATATACGAGAATTTTAAAAAATATATAAATGAAAAGTTTTCATGAGATATGTTGTGTCCCCATACATTTCATTGTTGCAATTGAAATGTTAATTAGGTGGTTTAGGACAAAACAGTTATCCATGGTGGATCTTCCTGATCTGAAGCCGGCTTGTTCTTCTGCTAAGATTTTATTTTCATATTCCCGTAGTTCTAATTTGGAGAGAAGTACTTTTGAATAAATTTTGGCCGCTATATCAATGAGACTAATGGGTCTGTAATTTTTTTGATTTTTTGGGCACCCTTTTTTGTAGATAGGGATAATTATTGCGAGTTTCCAACCTGTAGGTATATTGGCAGTGTTATTTATATGATTATATAGACCTGCTATCAGGGGAGCCCACCACTCAGGGTTGGATTTAAATAGTTCTGGTGGTAAGAAGCTTTGTTGTTATTTAGGCTTTTAATTATGCTCTTTATTTCCTGGACCGTTGTCGGGGGCCAGTCTGGCAGCTTTTCGGGACTGTCTATACTAGGGGTGACATGATTCTTTGGAGGTGTCGAAGGGGCAAACAGTTGTAGATAATAGTTCTCCCAATTAGCTGCTGGGATAGGGGCAACAAATGCAAATTTTCTTTCTTTGAGGATTCCCGCTACTGAGTTCCAAAAGAGAACTGTGTTCCTCCCTTTAGCTGCGAGTTCTAACTCGTTCCAAATGGATATTGTGTGATTTTTCTTTTTCGCTCTGATGGTTTGCTTATATTTCCTTCTCAGTTCTAGCATATTTTTATGTACTGTCTTAGACTGAGATCCCTGCGCCTTTCTCATTAGGCTCTTAAGACTTTTCTTGATGGATTGGCATTCAGTATCAAACCAATTGTCTCTATTTCTTTTTGTACTTAACGGGATAGCATTAGCAGTTGTTTTTTTAATTGACTGCATATATTCATGAATGCCGAATTAACTGCCATCCAGTCAGATGAAGGAGCTTGTATTGTAGCTGACCAATCTGTGAATTCTATAGAATTAAGGGACCTGTTTAAAGCATCAGTGTTGACTTTATGCTACCTGATTCTTTTGT